GACTCCGGCAGCGCGACCGCGACGCNCGCGACGCGGACGCTCCCGGTCCGCCGTCGCGCGTCGACGGCGGCGTCGACGGTCGGCGCCGCGACGCGGACGCCCTTGTTCGCCTCGAGCCAGGCGACACCGCGCGCGAGGATGGGGTCGCGGAAGCGCCAGGCGGCCGAGCCGACGACCGCGAGGGGCAGCGCGACGTGTCGCAGGAGGGCGACGAGGGAGTGGACGACGACTCGCAGGGCGGCGCCGACGGGGAAGGTGACGCAGAAGGTCAAGGCGTCGAGGGCGATCGCGGCGATGGCGATGGCGTAGAGGATCGCGACGCCGTGTTGCGGAGGCGACTTGGACATGTCGATGATTGACGACGCTCGGGCTCTCTCCTCGATTCACCACTTTCTCGGCGTCGCTGCGAAGATGCTGCGAGGCGTTCTCACGAGGCCTCGAGTCCTCGCTCGAGGTCGCACACGACGCCCTGACGCCCTCCGCGCTTTCCCAGTGAAGCGATCAACGTACATCTAGACACGCCCATAGGAAATTAATTAATAAAGATCAATCATCGAATTCCGGCCGGCGGAGCCAGAGTCATTAGTCCTCCATAGAGGCTGTGCGTCGACCGCGCGCGCGGGCGCGGTGTCGCGGAGGTCCGCGGGCTGAAATCACGGCCAAAATTGGGTTATGCTCGTATCAAAGCAAGCTTGATGATACTCACGCGTTGATTGCACGTTTGCGAAGACTTTTTGCGCGCGGTCGCTGGTTCGGGTCAAGAAATCGCAATATTTAACTTCAACAAAAGTGCTGAAGTTCAACAAAAATGTTGACTTTTAAATCCAGGCTATCAGAATCTGAGTTTTGATCGCTTCACTGCGCTTTCCACGACCGACGAACTTAGAGCGGCGTCGGTTCGCTCCACGGCTTCCAGTCCTTGAACTCGCGCGTGTGGTAGTACTTGGGCCGGGAGTCCATGCGGACGTGGAGCCAGGGCACGCCGGACCCCTCGGTGCTGAGCCAGACGGGCCGACCCTGCTTGACGAGGGCCTCGTAGACGGCGCCGACCTTGGCCCAGAAGGCGACGCGCTGGCCGTCGGGCGCGAGGCGCGCGAAGTTGGCGACGTGGCCGTAGGCCTCGAGCGGCGCCGCGTCGCGCGCCGCCGCGGCCTCGTCCCGGTCCTTTCGGGCCTCGCGCTTCTCGCGGAGCGTCGGGTGCTTGCGGTGGGGGGGCGCGCCGTCCTCCGGCGGCGCGGCGCCGGCGTCGCAGGGCGCGACGAGCATGGCGTCGCGGCCGAGGTTCGGGAACGCGGCGACGCCGGCGCCCGCGGCGCACGGCTCGCGGAGGTGCTCCGAAAAGTCCGAGGGCGACGCGGGCGCGAAGCCCCGGCTCCGCACGGTCTTGTGCTCGTAGGGGACGGCGTCGAGCGTCGTCGCGGACGTCGGCGGGCACTCCCAGTAGAACGCGTCGTAGGGCGACGCGGCGAGGAGCGAGTTGAAGAAGCGCGCGAATTCCGCGTCCGCCGCCAGGAGCCGCGCCCAGTCGCCGAAGCTGAGGCGCGACCCGTCGTCGCGGCGGATCACGACGGACTCGCTGCCGCCCGCGACGCTCGCCGTCGCGGCGAAGCGGCCGTCGTCGCTGCGCCGCCCCGCGTAGTCGCGCCGCGGCTCGTGGTCGGCCATGGGCGCGGCCGCGCGGTGCGGCTGCGGCGAGCCGCCGCGGCGGAGGCCCGCCTCGGAGCTGCCGGGCCGCGGCTCGCCGTTCCGGTAGAACCGGTTGCCGCGCGACCCCCGGCGCCGCTGGCAGGCGGCGAAGGACCCGAGGACGCCGAGGACGACGGCGCTCCGCCAGAGCACGCGCCACGCGATGGTTGCGGCGGTCGGGCTCGGGTTATTTTTTATAGTTTTGTGGAGTTGGCGCAGGGCGCGGGCCTCGGACAGCGTCGCGAGGAGCGAATCGGGCATGCACCAGCGCGCGCCGCGGAGCGTACGGGGAGCTCCCACCTTGTGGCAAGGGGTATTTATTAGTATGGGGTGGCAGCTCAACGAGATTATGCCCCGCGAGGTCCTCGTACTGCAACCCATCGTTTTGGGGCAATGTTGACGACTTTTGGCCGGGGATGTTTCGACGCCGCCGTCGTCGACGCGGCCCCAGGCGGACCGCAGCGGTATTCGCTCCCCCGCGAAGGCGCCCGCGACAAGACTTACGCGTCCGGGCGGTTCGGGTCCGGTGGAAGGAGACCGAGGCGCGCTGGAGGGCGCCGTGTCCGGGGATCCTCAG